GTCATTAATATATAAAATTTATCTACAAAACAAAGACAGAATGTAGTTATATTCCTCAAAATCACATCAATTCATCTTTTAATTAAAAAATGTCTGTTGAAACAGTCACTTTTTTATTCACTTGCATGTTCCAGTAATGGACACTTTGAAAGTGAAAAATAACTCAATGTGTCAGAGTTTGATAATAAAAATAAAAATTTAATAATCACTCCATTTTGTAAATGAACAAATCAGACTTTTACTGCTTTCCAGGAGTCTCCTAATTACATACAAATTTCTACCTAAATACTTTTGGGCTGACAAACCCACATTCACAGGCTCCAAAATCATTTCACAAAATTTAGAACATATGTAATTTTGGTAGTTTTAGAACTGAATATTCAAAATTATCAAATGAAATACAAAATTCAAATTTAAAAAGCAACAATTTAAAATTCTAAGTTTGTTTTAGTTAAATGTAAACTATTGTCTAATTATTCCTAATAATCAGTTCTTTTTGCTTTTATATGCCCAAAAATTGCATAATTCATAATATTTTATTCAATAAAAATTATATTTTGTTAAAAATGTCAATATAGGTATTGACAATGGAGCATTTCTCACTTTTAGAAAAACTGAATCTTACAAATATTGTGTGAACTTATGAATATGCATATGATTAGAATGATTTTAGGAAAGTATTAGACATTTAGTAATGGTGACTGAATGATTGAATTAAATTATCAAAAAAGCCAAATAAACAGTATAGCAGTAAAATTAAGTATTTAAACATTCATTAGCTACTCTTAAATAAAAGCTAAATTAGCATCAAAAAATTTTTCTTAGATATTACTTCAATATGTGATACATCTAAATATATTTGTTTAAGTCTCTAAGAATGATAAACGACTTCCAACCACTTAACACTGCGTTGAATAATAACAATCCACGAAAAACCTTTTTTTACGAGTGTTATGTCACTATTAAATTCCACAAGTACTTTCTACTTCCCCGGGGTTTTGTTTCGGTTGTTGCCTTTCCCCCCTTGAGGCGGCCTTGGTTGGGGTCGAAAGTACTTGTGGAATTTAATAGTGACATAACACTCGTAAAAAAAGGTTTTTCGTGGATTGTCTCTAAGAATGTTTTTTTGCTTTACAACTGTAAAGATTACTGATGAAAAAGTTGCACTTTTTCTTTCAAGTTTATTGGACACACTATTGGTTTACATTTTGTTTATGAAAGTTGCTTTATGGCAATTCTGTAAATTACACATATGAGAACTAGACTGTTGGCAGATTTTGACAACTGGCAAACAAAGCTATGTCAAAATTCTTTTGATGTAGCTTTTGCCATAAAACCTGTACTGTGAAAATGAGGTCAAAAAAGTAATTCTTTTGTGACTTTTTAAGAAAGCTGTAACAGTGAGTTTAGCAAGGGAAATTGGTTATCATGAATACATTAAAAATTTTTTGAAAAATATTCATAAAGTAAAAAAAAATTAGAAATTTAAAATTATTTTATACATATATATAATAAATTTATTCTATAAACTTTTACCCTCTCCTTTTAGAATCATAAATTTATTTAAATTTCATAAAGTTACAAAGGCAGGTGATATAACTGATTTAAAAAAATAATAATAATTAAGCCAATAAAGTTCAGAAGATAACTGTTAAAAATGACAATGAACATTAACTAATAGTTTTAAAGATAATCTGATTACATTCAAATTTTCATTTATTTATTTTCTTGATGATGCCTTCTATTTCTTCAGATATTTCATATTAAAATTGCAAAAGTATGTCTGTCTTACAGAAAAATTCAGAAATTTTATTATACCAGATAGTGTTTTTTTGTATTACTTTAATAAATAATGGTTAAAATCTATGAAATTTTAACCATTTGAAGTAATATCTAAGAAAAATTCAATGCAAATATTTTTAAATATTTTAATCCTATTGTTATTTTATTGCTTTTTTTGTATTATTATATATTATATTTTATGTATCTGGGTCATACTATTAATTGGGGAGGGTGGAAATCTTTTGTCATATACATGAAATTTCCATTTGAAAATAAAATAAAATAAATAACTTTTAACATAACATAAAATTTTTTAGACATAATATTAAAAATTCTCCGAAACTAGAAATTTGAAATATTGATTGGATTTTTCTGATTTTAAGACAGTGTAATTTTACTTTAGTTTCCAAAACAATGGGTTTTCTTTCTTGATAATGTTTAAGCAATCCTTTTAGAAAGTCTTTTCTTAGACAATATATGAATTTCAAGAATAATTTTATTTAAAACTTTTCTTTCAAATTTAAAATACTCATTTTGATATCCTTGTTTTGATTGTTGAAACAAATTATTTTACAAAATCTTTCATCTGCTTACACAGTTTCATATTTTAGTGTTTTCGAAAGTTTGTCTTGCAAGATCATAAAATGCAATAGCTAAAACAGTAATAATTAAACTGTAAAATTCTGAAGAGAAACTGTTGATCTTTTAAAAACTTTAATTAGATTTAGTTTTTCTGAATTTCAATTTAGAATCTGTAATTGCTAGTACAATTTTATAAAATTGTAGGTGTAATTTAAAAATTGAAGAAATTTTTGTGAACAAAGTAACAGTTAATTGAAAACAACTGAATTTTAATTGTTTATTTCCAAGATTTGTTTATCAAATTATTATTAATTTATATTTCCTTTTTACACAAATATCATTATTTTAACTTTCTTAAAATCTAAATATCTGCTTTTGTAAGTAATATTTAAGATAATTATATTACCTAAATAAATAGCATTAAAGGCTGTTGCAAATAATTAACTGTTTAAAAAAATGATATTACATACCAGAGAAAAATAATATTTTTTATTTAATTTTAAGTTATACTCTTAATTAATATATCATTTTATAGGGTAACCTAGAAGCATAGGATTTTTAGCCTTTTGGCTGATTTAGATTAGAAAATTCTAGGTAAATTAATAGCAGCTGTTCCATATATAATTGACTCCCACAAGAATTTCAGATTTGTTAACTTAACTTCTACAGAGTTGCACAATGGATTCTTTACTAGACCAATTATACCCAATAAAATTTTTGCTGAAATTTTGACAGCATTTGATAGCAACAAAAGCCTCATTCAGGAGAATAATACCAATTTCAGTTCAAAAAGTAAAAATGTCAGTTATTGAGAGGGGAATGAATATTATGGAATTTCTGTAGTGCCACTTACAACTTAAAAAATTGAATTAACAACTAAATACAGTATAACTTATCTAACTCAAACATCTGTAACTCGAATATTTCTTTAACTATAAAAAAAAACAAAGTACTTTGTAGATCTCAATGGAATAGAACAAGGATTTGAAGTCTCCAACTTGAATTTCCTTAACTCTAATTTTCTCCAAGTCAAAGGTTTTATGATCCTCGACACTGATTTATGTTACTTTCAACTTTCTTGACTCAAATTTTAATATTTATTCTATTCAAAGTTATCCTAATTATTGGATTTCCATGAAATTTTCAGACAGTTGTATCTACTGTCCAACACTAAATTGAACAATGTTCTAGTCCAAAGTGAGAGGACCTCACTTTATCTTAATGAGATGTACTGTTTGATTCAGCAAAATGTTCAATGTAACTAATGGAAAGTGTACATTGGCTATTTAAAATATAAAAACTATTAAAAATTCTTTATATAATGCAAGAGAGGTAAAAAAAAATGCAAATCTATTCAGAAAATCTATTGTTCTTAACTTGAATCATCTATATCTTGAAGTTTTTTCCTGCCCTTCAGAGTTTGAGTTAGAGAAGTTTCACTGTAATTTCATCATTGGATTATCACTGCCACTGAAAATAGAGAGTTCATTACTTTCTTCTGCATGCAAAATTTTATAATAAACTAAATTTATACAAAGTTATGTTAGAATAAATTTATTTGCCATTATCTATAATTTTAACAGATGACATTAAAAATTGTTAAATCTGATAATTATGACATAAATAACAACTCTTATGAGATTGAATATTACATGTGGGATATTTTTTGTATTGGATCTACAGTAAAATAAGTGTTGGAAAGTTAGGTATAGCTCTGAAGAAATAGATATTTAGTATTCTGTTATCTTTTGGCAAAATTGAAAAACTTCTTGCCAAATTTAAAATTATCAACTTTTGGCAATTTGACTAGCAGCATGTTATTCTACTTTCAATGTCAGTCAATAAAACCAGAATTTTCACTAATTGTTATATTATTCACTTGCTTACACTGATAACATTAAGCAGAATAAGTCCAAAACTGATTACAATAAAGGGATTCTTCTATATTTTGTTTTCATAAAAAATAATTTGATTATGAATGAGTATTGAAATGGGTTCATTTGTTTTTCAATGATATATTGACATTCAAAAATAGATATTTAATATCTATTTATTTATATTTATCTAATACAGTGTTTCTCAACGGGGGCATTTTTCCATGTTGAGGGGGCGATTAGTAACAATTTATATTTTGGGGGCGAAAAACAATTTTCTGAGCAGTATAGTAAAACATTATATTAAGAATAATTAGATATTTTATTTGTTATATCGTACAATAATTAAACAAATAACATTATACTAGTCACAAGTCTATTCAATGCAGTATGAATTTGGCATTAGCCTTGGCCCTGGGCATCGGAATCTTGAAGTGAAGGGGGCGATACTACATAACGATTTTATTGAATGGGGTGACGATTCGTTAGAGGTTGAGAAACGCTGATCCAATATATGCAGTATATTTTCTTGCATGAGAAAAAAATAAATGAATGTAAAATATTTTCTTAAAATGCTTTTATTTAATTAATTTTGGCACAAGGACAAAATAAAGGAAAATTGTGAATTATAAATATTTTATGTATTTGGTGTACACAGCACATTTTATTATTTAAAAATGTTTCATATAAACTTCCTTGTTTTAAATTTTATATTATATTTTAATATTATAAATGTTATAATTTAAAAATTTTTTTAAACAGGTGTATATTTCGACACAAGAGTAGAACACATCAAATTTGTTGATTTTTGTGGAAAGTATCGTTTACCTCTGTTGGAATACCTTTGCTCCCCTCTATGCCACACAAGTCCAGCATTTACGTATAGTAGTTCTGATCCAGAATCCTCTGATGAAGAAAGTACTGTTCCCGCTAGTAAACTCAAGAGAGTTTTATTGGGTTGAGAGTCTATAAATTTTAACTGTGATTTAAACTAAAAAGTTTATAAAAATTTAAATACTGTTTTAGAAGTTTATATATAATGTTCAAAATATTGTTTGTTAAAGTGTTTAAAAATCAATTTTAAGAAAGAAATGTTTTTATTCATGCCTTTTTTTATATTCTTATCATTCTTTGTTTTTTGATAAGTCACTTCAATATGGTTTTTCTGTAATTTCTTAAGTTTACTTTAATGATTATTTTTATTGAATACATTTGAAAATAAGAGCCTTTTTCTTTTATATAAGTTTTTAAAACATTTTTATGCGATAATTATATTAAAGTAAAAAAAAATTAGAAATTTAAAATTATTNTAAAAATTTTACTTTTGAATAAAAAGGTGAAATTGTTACTAAAATAGAATTTTTATACTTGTATAATTGAAAATAATTGCAATTTTTAGAAACAAAGTATTCATAACTGTGAATGCTATTTGTTTTATAATTAAAAATATATTCCTGCAGAGAAATAAATGCAATGATATAGTTTATTATTTAAAAAGCTATTTTAATGTTTTATTTTTAAATATGAAAAATTATAGTCAAACTATGCTTGTTTCAAATTGTTACTTGATATAAAAAAAATTATGGAATTCTATGGTTAAAACAGAATTATAGGTTTCATATTTTATGCTTTTTGTCATTGATAAATGTATACAATCCAATTGTGTGATTTAACTCTCACTTTCCACATAAATATACTTGTTACAAAATTTACAAGTGCCAAACTCATTTTTTGTTGAAAATTGAAAATATTCAAGTTGAAGTTTTGAATAAATAAATTTTTTATAAGTCTGGTATTTAAAATTTATTTTTAAATATTTTATTTGGACACAATTTTTACAAAGTCAAATCAAAATATAAACTAACATATCCATTTTATAGCGTATACTGTAATAGAACAAACTAAAATATACGTATATTTTTGAGTAATAAATAAAAATATTTTGTAAAATCAGAATAAAAACATATAATACAAAATGTAAACGTGTAATAGGGACATCCACTGAAGCAATTATGATTATTCTAGTCTTATGTTATCCTTTAAATTTCAGGTAATAAATTTGTATATCCACCATACAAACTCTAATTTGGTAAATAATATATCAAACTTATCTGCAAAATATTGCAGAAGAATTCAAGTCTACCATTGTCTTAAAATACTATATTACAAGCTAACAATTATTCCTTGCTTTCTCCCATCTAGCAATACACGGTAAAAAGAAACACATGAGGCCAGAAACAGCTATCACGCTTCCTGCGATATAAAACGAAGTATCGTAGCTTCCGGTTACATCAAAAAACCAACCTGCAAAACGGTTTATTATGTAAAAAATACATTCAAAAGAGCAAAAGTGACGTCAGTTACTGACGTGATGTCACGTAAATTACGAACACACACGTCAGCTCGTAATTATTAGGTCAATTATTTATAAATGAATTTTACCTGCAATGGGCGATCCGACCATAGTTGCTACACCTTGAAATAAAAGGATCAAACCGAAAGCATTTGTTAATTTTTCCAGTCCCAATAATTCCACGGTTATCACCGATCTTAGAGCAGCAAAACAAGCTGAAAATCATTTAAAAAATATTTCATAAAAATTAAAAGTTTACAATTTAAAGTTATGATTAAATTTTACAAATAAGTTTGGAGTTTTTATTGTAAGCTTTTAATTTTGTAAAATATCTACAAACAATAAGAGCAAATATAAAAATATACTAATAAAATAATTATAAATTTATATAAATCAAATATACACTACTATAATGAGCAATTTAGAGTGTCTTTTTTGCGTTTTATGAGAAATTACTAAGTACTGTACAGTACAGTACATTTGTTTCTCTAAGTTGAAGTGGAAAAAAGTGGTAAGTCCTTTTGATAACAGATAAATTTCCACTTCTACGCAGAGAAACAAATATACTGTATACATGTGTTTCTCTGTAAAGTACAGTAAATGTTACTGTACTGTAAATTGTTCTTGTGGAGTTTGATAATAGGCTATAACTTTAATCTCTTGACAAAATTATATATCTTAGAAAACCTTTAGGTAAACTGACCAGATTTAGTACTGCCAATACGGGACATCCAGCGCCCACTCCTTTCCTTACCCGTGTCCACGACCAATTTTTCTTCAGCTGAATTTAAGTTCTTGCATGTAGAGTCAAGCGTGCAGCAAAATGACGTTATTTTGCTACACACTAGACTCTACACGCAAGAACTTAAATCCAACTTTACTGAACCGCTTTGTGTATGTATACATAAAAATAAGAAGGACCGATTTTATACTAGACAGCAAATTTCAAAAACATACAGTATTATTATTGTTTTCCGATAAAAACTGTAACTGCCTGTCTGACAACGATCAACGATCTCGCCTCTATAATACTGTAATACAAATATAATGAATGCAATAGTTTATTTACAAATATGCACGTTTTTAAAAAGAATCATTATTCTAAACAGAGAATCTCCGAAGATTCTTCGAAATTTGGAACATTTTTCCAGGAAATCATGGAATAGAAGGTATTTCGGAATTCTGACAAACTGTCCGGACAATGGGGCAGAGAATCAAAATACAGAACTATCCCGTACAACACGCACTGGCGCGTTATCCCATGAGCAAAAAGGACAATTACCTGGGGCCTCCACCAACAGGAGATTCCAAACCAATCTTTTATAAGAAAATATTTCCTCAAAAAAACTCCCTCGAAGAAAAATTTTGAAGTCAACACTGTACATGGATTTCCTAATTCAAATTTTGGCCCCATGAAGCTATAATGTGCCACTGACAATACGGACGTCTGGTCACTTTATCTATTCTGACATAGTTGAGGCAATAACCACTAAATTATTTTGAAGTTAAGTTTAATGACGTTTTTCAGAATGACGAAGCAATATCACATATCACAGCGAGGTGATGACGTTCTTGAATAAGCAATTGCCTAAACAATGGCCAGCCTTCTCCTCGCTATTCACTAGGTCTACTTTTTCTCGACTAAGACCCTATTTCATTAAAAATAGAGAATATCAGATTTGCTATTCCCTATAAAACAATAATCCGATCAAAACTTCGAAAAGATGTAAATGAGGATTATATGATTGACATTTTGGATCAGTTTCTATCAGAAATATTACAGAATTAACTAAATTAAAAACTGTATTAAGCAGTTTTATAATATTTCTTCATTAAATACTGTCGACCCCCCTATAACACTGTTGATAATTCCGTTTTATATGAATTCCATGTTGTACGAGTCACTTAGATTTTACAAATACGTGGGCACACGTATTTGTAAAATCTAAGTGACTCGTACAACATAGAATTCATATAAAACGGAATTATCAACAGTGTTATAGGGGGTCGACTGTACTGTATAATAAAATCTCTATTTTAAATATGAGAGACGAAAACAAAGATTAATACTTCCTTTTGATAACAGGTGGCATTTTAAGCACGTTATTCAGTCAAAGATGTTGGTAGTCAATCTTGAAAGAAGGCGTTATCAGAGAAGTTTAATATAAATATTAAAGTTATATCGTGAATGCCATTAACATATCGACTATCATTTTAATATATACAGGTCAACATATATGTTCAACTTTCATAAAAAGGAGAAAACACAACGCATAAAATCAAACCTAAATGAAGAATTATCGTTCATATAAAATCCAAAAACATTATACAGTATATTGTTAGATTAAAAAGTCAAATATTGACATTCATAATAATGCTATCGGAAGTAAAATAAAACAGAATATAGGAATGTGTGTTAAATTATTCTATGTAAGCAGACAAGAAATCAAATTCAAAGACTGTTTCCATTCACGTAATTAAATATATACTTAAGATTCTTAAATAAATTACTACATCTGAATTAATACTGTTATTTTACTACTATATTTGTTAAAATTATACTTTTGTTATATTTATTATGATTATTAGATGACATATAATTGCTTGTCTTTGCCTAAAATACATAAAAAATGTACATTATCCTCTTAAATGGTTTAAATTGAAATCTATACAGTTGAAATTGTCTATGTCGAACATGTTTATCTCGAAATTTATTTCCCCCCCTACATTTTCAGCTTAAATTTAATATATTTTCCGTGTTTATCTCAAATAATTTTCTCCCAAAAACCTCTATATCACAAATTATGGACAGAAGTATCAATTACAAATTTAGAGCTCGGCGACTACATTTTGATAGCATAAATTGCATCTTGCAATACAGTATATAGTTGTAATTAACGCTGCTTTTCTCTGATTGAATGCAAGTTTAATCAAAGAAATCAGACATCAGAAACTATCAACAAACTATTTCTGTAAAGATATATAAAAAATGTCTTATTTATACCTAATACAGGTGTACTGTAGTTGTTATTGTATTATAGAATACCGTACTTCCAATCAAACTATTACTGTTTACTGTGTAGGAACATCTGTATGTCGAATTTTTCTCGTTCCTGTGAGATTCGACATAGGTTTAACTGTATTTAATTTATATGGATTATCTTTTTAATTTACTGTTTTTGATATTGATACTGAGACAAATGAAACTTAAATTTTCAGTTTCTAAAATATTTTAATATACGCCCTGTTTTTCGAGGATGTTTTCCTCATCAACAAATCTTAATATCCTATATCAAGGGTGGAGAATCTATGGCACGCGTGCCCAAAGTGGTACATAAGAAATCATCTGGCACGTAATGTATCGTACGATTTCGATTTATCATCTGTCTTTTTCAATCGTCTTTTCGGTTTATCACTCGATTACCCTTTTTTCTATCAGCTTTTTTGCATTTATTCTAATTAAATCACACTCGTTTAATGTATTTAAATATCGTTGTACGAGGTCTAAAACTTTGGCACATCTTTAAAACTACATTAAGTATGCTTACTATATGGTCGAAAAGGTTCGGCACCCCTGTCCTATATTATTGTGAATTGATCTTGGGAGTTATTTCCATTAAAGATTTCAGTTTACAAAACATGAATATGACAGTTCTTTCATTAAAATAAGATGATATAAAATTGAATTGAATCTTCATAGAGAGAAACCATTACAAAATTATGTATAATAATAAATAAGATAATAAAAATCGTAGCATTGTTTATCATATGTAAATTAATATACAGTAAGTAATTTACATACGAACATACAAAGGCATTGCTCATGTTTTTAATTTCAAAACGATAACAAATAAATTTCTGGGAAAACTGGGATAAATCCGGGAAAAAACTTTTACAGTGTATCCGGCATTGAAAGTTTCGTATTTAGTTACTTAAATATACATTTGTAAATCAAAACAGGATATTTTGAATATGAAGTTGTCTAAGGAGTCAAAGAAAGAGTTATCTAAACATACCTGTGGATGATGATAATGCGGATAAAACAATGTTTTTATAAAAAGGAATTAATTAATTATAAAAGTATTTGATAGTATTTTGTCGAAATTTTCGTGTATTAGGAGGATTAATTATATTAAATTTTGGTGATTAAAAGTCGACGGGGTGGGGAAACAGAAGGGAGTCGTATGTCATATCTCTAGTAGGGTCGAACTTAATGAAGATTTTACTCATTACAATTTTTTATAAAACCTATCCCTAGCTTCAAAATTAGATTTTTGCTTTGTTATATTAATTAAAAAGATAAGAAGTTTTAAAATAAAATCTCATTACAGATGACGCCACATACGCAGTTTTAAATGTTGCCGGGAAAGTTAAGCAACTCTTTGGAAGATTTAAAAAAAAAAATTATTGTTAATGGTTTCACTTACACAGTAGCATGTAAATCTTTAAACCTACAACAGCACAAAATTTATTTAAACAGATGTACAAATAATAATAACACTGTACAATATCGTAACACAAGAGAAGTTTTCTGTATGTTTACGTTTACTTTTTCTCGTTTCATTTTTTGCAGAGAAGCCAACTTCTCTCTAATAAGAGTGTTTTCTTTGGCAGGAAAGTTACATCTTGAATAAAATTACATATTTTTCGTGAATTAAAAACTCTTTCGTAACTTTTACTATGCAATTGATAATATTTTAGACGAAACAGATCATGGGAAACAATGCTATTATTAAACTTAATACTGTACTAACTTTCTTGAATTTGTTGATAGAAAAACATTCTTTACCCTTACATAATAAATATTTATGGTTTCGCACGATTGAATTCATCTAATGTATTTATAAATGCATATTGATTGACTTTAAAAATCAAAGTTTAGAAGATGCATTCAAGATAATTTTTTATATATTACCCTACATAACTCGAATCGTTTTATATATTACAATCTGATTGTTGTTATGTAATATGTAGTAGACACTGTCGGGCAATAAATTATATACGAACTTTATAACTTTATAAACATTCATCTAATATTTAATGCGTGTTACTTTAACATGCCGGAAATTCAAGTAAATCAAACCTCTAACAATTAATTTAAACGTTTTTCGTGTTTAATCTATATCTAAGTTGACATAAAAACAGATATATATTTTAATTTTATTCTGAGAAATTTGTAATTATTTAAAATTTTAAATATTTTATTTTCATTATATGTATTATTACCACTTATTATGTACAGTATATTGTATTATATTAATACATATACAGTATAATTTCATATTTGTGGATTTTAGTCCTCGAACTACTGTAATTGCTAATTGATATTATTATTAGTATTAGTTTTGTTATTGTAATAGCTAATAATTAAAACTTTGTTTTACAGCTTATTCTAGTCTATTTTTTTCTTTGGGAGAATGTCAAAATATATTTTGGTAATATTATGCAAACCAGAACTTTTTTCTTTATTACATAACGTTAGAAAACTTTATCACTAAACAGAAGAGAAAAATAGTATGGCATCACTAAGTAACAAGAGTAGTAAGATGTAGATAAACGATAATTTTGGAGATTACGTAAAAGACTATTTTTAGCAAACATTTATTCGTTAACGTGGATATTTTACTAAAAAAAAAAGTTTCTTAAAATTGAGCTCGACATAATTAATTCTCTTACATAATTCTATCAAAGAGTTTTCTCTGTTAAAAAGTGTTATTGAATAATGGAAAAATTAAATGTAATTAAACTTTATAGCAATAAAATTTTAAATTAATAAAATACAAATTTAATATTAGTTTATTGGTTTAATAATTCAACTTCTTGTAAAATTAAATATTTTAATTTTATCAATATTTATAAATTGAAGTTTAAATGTTTAGTTTTAAAAGTATTAGTTTTTATATTTTATAAATATAGCAATATTCTACAATAAATATACATTTTATAATAATTTAATTGATTGTTATTATTTTTTTAAAATTAAATTAAAAATAAGAAATCTGACAATTTCCAATATAATTATTTATTTAAAAACTTACCTATAGAAAATCCAAAAATCGCACCGTAGATGACTAAATGGGTATAAGTATTTAAGAAAGGGCTAAGTGCCGTAGCCAAACCTCCAATTGTCAAAGCGCAGTTATTAATTATCAGAGAACTGACTTGAGGTTTGTCGGAAATCCATCCACAGAATACTCTAGCCACAGTGTTTGTTATGCCAATAACCGATAACAAAAAAGTAGCATCCTGTGGAGATATTCCTATTAAAACAGCTCTATCGACTATGTATACAAACGGTATGAAGAATCCAGCAAGAGTAAGAAATCCGGAAATGGCCAAAACAAGGAAGGTGGGACTTTTTAATAAAGAAGTGTCTAACAGTTGTCGGAATGTATCTGTCATTACTGTGGAACTTGTAGCATCGCAGGCTTCGGGTATTCTTGTAATGCTTTTATGGAACTGTTCTAGATCGGATTGAGATCGATATTCTCTAAGTCGCATCACACTAGCACTAAAAAGAACATCTTGGCGGTCAAATGGTCTCATAAAATCTTCTCTTCTCGGTGGGAAAGCGCTAGAATGACGTCTTCTCGATAAGTCTCTGTTATCTGGTGTGAACGAAAGACTCGTAGCTCTACCATCCGAAGAACGTTTCAATCTTATATTAAGCAAGTAAGGCGCTCTTAATTTGAATGAACTTTTAGACGATTGACGTTTGGAGAATTTATCAAAATTTGGTATATCTTCTTTCGATTCGGAAGAATTATCTTCATTCGGCACTAAAGGTCGAAACAGAGATCCGAATACGCAGCAATGCATGATAATTGATGATAACAGAAGAAGAGAACCACGCCATCCGTATGTTTCGTTTAAGTAATTGACAAGTGGAGGCATTATAAAGGCACCCACTCCCGAACCACATACTGCAATACCTGTAGCAAATGCTCTTTTTGTTTCGAAATAATATCCGACTGTTACGATGGCGGGAAGATAGATGAATCCAAAACCAATGCCTTAAGCAAATATAAATTAAAATAATAATAAAACACACAAATAATATAATTTATGATTATCTTTGTCCTTTAATCTTCAATTTATTTAACAAATTTAAAACTCACCTCCCACTATACCGAAACAAAGGCAGATATGTAGAAGAGTTTCGGCAAAAAAACAAAGGATGAATGCTATAGAGGATAATATACTTCCGGCTATAGTAACAGGACGACAACCATAAGTGTTAGCCAACGCGCTAACAACCGGTCCTGAAATTAAAATTATTCATCATTAACAATTAATATACTTCTGAACTTTAATTAACAAATCATTATAAGCATTTGCATTGTTTTGGCACACTTAATCGGGATTTTTCAGGGCCTAAATATGGCAAACCAACTTAAGTTATAAGATTAATAAAAATATTCGTACTTTAAAAAGGAGCTATTTAATGGTAGATAAATTTAAAATTTATATCAGTGTCAAGAGATGTAAATTTACATCCTGTTGTTCATCGGCTATATTCATCGATGTACGAGTTTTAATATAATGCACGCAATATAAATGCAAATCTTCTAGTTATAATAAATCGGAATCAATAATACTTTTGCAAATATATTGCAATAATTTATTATTTTAGACGATTACTTTTTTTATTCTTAAATGGGTCTTCAACATCTTACCTGCTAGAAGATAAAAACCTGCAAGTAAAGAGCCAATCCAAGCCGTCCTTCCTTTACTTTCGTCGAATGTTATAGAAAATTCCATTAAAAATATCCCAGAGGAAAAGATAATTCCATCTACTATAACGCTGCAACTGAAGGAAGCAAATACCACCATCCATCCCCAACCGCCGTCTGGAGGTTCAACGAACGTTGAAATAGGTCTATTGGCCATTAATACAGTCTAAGACAAATGTTGTAAATTTTAGTTAAAGAAGTGAAAGAGTTTAACAGATTTAGTTAGTATCAGTGCAAGAGGATAAGATGTCACAAGACGAAATGAACTATATAATACACAAGTTCACAATAGAGCGGAAGCGAATCACACGCCCATTAGTGCTGTCATTTATAATATAAAACTGTCATTCATAATTACTACAATGAAAAACGTTCAAAGGGATTTCATAACAAAAAAATAGGACTAAACAGGACTTACGGGATAAAAAAATTCAAAGTCGGAAAAAACAACTTATAGTTTTTGATGGAGACAAAAATAGACGATGGATATCAAATCCGTACTGACATCGAATGAGCTGCAATTAGTGTGAGTGACATTGCCTGTCTATTACATTTAATATAGAAGTATCCTGTCTTCGTACGGTAAAAGTATCCTGCAAATAGGGCAAATATATTTTATAAACATGCAGAAAGAATGGAGAAAGAAGTGCTATTAACAACTAAAATCTAGTTTTTTAAGTGATAAAATGCAATTTAATAGTTAAAGATATAAATGTATTTTTCGAATTCGGAGAGTTCTAGAGACTAAATAATTTCTATAATCTTTATTAACTATCTGTAATGTATACAAATAACATCTTTGACATTTTAATATTAAAAAAAGAGTAGAAAGTAGAATAAAAAAACATTACAGAAATGACATTTTCAATGAACAAAATCATTTAATGTTCACTAGGGATTGTAAATTTACCGACTTTTTCATTTACCGGTAATTCGGTAAATGAAAATTAAAATACCGGTTTACCGGTAAATCACCGGTAAATTTTTTTCCTGAAAAATAAAATTAAGGTGATAAAAAATATAAGTAATTTTGATTTCTATTTCACATTTTCTATTTCAAAGGTATAGAATATAAAAAATATAAAAATTAAAGTGTTATTCTAAACAAACTATAATAATAACTTTTAGAAACATAAATAAAATAATACAGAAAAATAAAAATAAAACAGAAATAATATATAGTACCTAATACCATTTTACTGATTACCATTTTTTAAAAAATAACTTCTCAAGAAACTTAAATTATTTAAAGTCTTATCTCCTAATTTTGATCTAATTTTTGTACAAAATAATCCAGGTTAGGTTAAGTTTCTAGACTTTTTCGGACATCATCTTTAAGTAATAAAAATCTTTCCAGCATGTTTAGTAAGCTATTCCACCGGGTTCTACAATCTAAAATTAAAGAAAGTTCTTTTCGTGAGAGTAATGGGGATTCCCCACGAAAATAAGGTTAGAATAATACATATTTTGCACAATCGTAAGGCATAATGTTAGAATCTTGTAATAAATATTTGTATTTAATTATTTTAAACAGTTGTTAGAAGTAAAAAATTTATTTAAGGTACAAATTTTAATGTTATTTTGCAATAATATTGCTTTAATGTCCTGTCATAATGTGGTGTATTCAAAATTGCTATTAATTTAAAAAGTACGTGAAATATTTACGTATTATTATTTTTAAATATTAAAAAAAAAAAAATTTACTTAATCTTTAAGAAAAACGTTGATTGTAAAGATTTTAAACCTTTAAAAATCTCAAAAAACGGCAGAGCACAAATCACATATGCTAACTAGAGCTTTCTGTACAATTTACAGTGCCTCTCAAACCCAAGAAAGTTTAAATTAAAATTAAACAAAAAATATCTCACATAAAATTAATAATTAGGTATATTGTTGCTTACACTTATCTGTTTTTTTTCAATGTCCCTTTAGCCCTTTTAAATATCTATAAACACAATATTTTCTACATAAAAATTTCTAGTATAAATTTTTCATTTACCGAATTACCGGTAAATTTCAAAAATTTACCGGTAAGTTTACGGAATGTTTTTTTGTCAATTTATCGGTTAACCGGTAAATCGGTAAACCGGTATACAATCCCTAATGTTCACGTATAAATTAATTATTAAATATTATGTATACATATGTATGCATATACATATAATATTAACATAGAAATAAGTTTTGTAATTAAAATAAAACAAGCATCTCTTTCATATAATAGTATACACTTTTAAGATAATATAGACCTAGAAGAAATTGATTGAAGGCATTTTCATTATAATGCAAATAAAATAAATATAAATTATTATGATAAAAATGCGTTTTTATTATAAATATCTGTCGTAGATAACAATTATCTACAATACATTTTCACAAATTTTATAGAAAGTAAATTGTAATTTTAAGTTTCTAGATTTACACTTTAAAATCAACATTGTACATGGGGATCTCTAATTCAATTTTGCCTGGGACACATGAAGTTGTAACGCGCTACTGATATTATCTGTACTGTACTATACGTAAAATTATAAAAAACTTAAATTTAAGTATTTAACTTCTTTATTATTATTACTTTATATATAGGCTATATATATATATATTTAAAGTATTGGCCGACATTATCACTTAGAATTGCATACACAAATCAAAATTAAAGCGTGAGCTTTATAAAATTATATCGATTAAAACATTTTTGTATATCAAAAATTGTTTTCAATATAACTTATATATGAAAATATATATCGGGTTCAAAACTTATTTTGCTTATCGAGCACATTTAAATTATAGTTTATTTTTTAAATGCTTCGAAATTAAATGCACTAAATTATTAATGATTTACTTTGATTTATTATTAATTATTTATGACTGATTATTAGACTGAAAAAATATCTTCCAGAAAACAAATTTTCTTTTATCTTTTGTAATTATTCTCTCTTTGTTATCCAAGAATAATTATTCAGTTCTATTCTTTTTTAATTAACAAATCATTATTTATTAATTAAATTATTATTTACTATATTTATTAGAAATATGAAAGATATTGGCAATAGTTTTATTAAACATTTATTAATATTTCATATTAATTTTCTTTAGCTTATTAATATAATATAATTAATGCAGTAAGTTCAAGCAGAGTTATCACTTGTCGTCGTCTATTTTCCATTCGCAAAACATTGCAATCGTTTTTAGGTAACTCATTTTCTTATTAATCATTTTTTTACAAATAATTAACGCTTTTTAACATTACATTTTTATTCTAACATTAAAAAAATATCTTATTTATCTTCTTAAAAAAGTCATGTTTGTATTTCTGCTCGTCTTGTATATGAAAGTAAGAGAAATATGAAATTGTTGAATAGAAGCGAAATTGTTTTTTCTAAACATTTTCTTTAATTTTCCAATTTATCGTTGCATTAGAAAAGAAACCACTAAGCAGATTTTTATAAGAATGATAAATGGACGAAAATGAATAGAAATTAGAAACTATAATAAACCAGATTTGAATTTTCTCGGTTCTGTTATATATAACAGAAGGAAAGTATGGCGCTCTGTCAAAAAATGAACCCCAAGAGTTTTACATTTTTTGGACTCGGTGATCTTGAAATGTCAAGAAATGCAAAAAAATTTCGGGATATTTTTCTGTATGTAGGGATGTTTATGTGTGTGTGTGTATGGGAGGACGATTTTGTTCACCCAATTAGAAGTTTAATAACTTTCATGCTTTTTGTCGAAAATTTCTGAAATTTTGCATGGAAGTTTGTGTATTAGGGGATTGATCCTATTAAATTTTTGTGGTTAAAGATCTAGGGGTGGGAACGTTGAGGAGGATTATGTGTTATATTTGGAATAAGATAGGAATTAATGAAGATTTTACTTATTAATTAATAGCATTTTCAATTTAAAAAAAATAATAAATAAAACTCATCACTACCTTCAAAATTAAGCATATTACCATTTTATAATAATTAAAAATATAAAAAGTTTATAAAATAAAATCTCATAACACATAATTTTAACTTCTTTTACGCGGAAAAGTTACGCAATTCTTTACTGGATTTTATGTAGTTTAACTTTTGAACTATAGAATGCTTAAAAATAAACATAAAATATACTAAAAATACTACTTACGCTTAATTATATTTTTTCAATTCGTACGTATTTATTATTGCAGTTTTGCTATTTTATATTCCCATAGATTTGTTACTTTGGTCTTAATATGTTTGGTCTCAAGTTTAACACACGAGTGATTGAAAAAAATACTTAAAGATAGCTTACTCATGAATTGTGTGGGATAATGGAAAAAAAACTTTCGATCTAAGTTCATCACCAACGAAAAATTAACTCATCAATCATTTTAAAATTAACAGTTAAAAGATTTTACTGTATAACGCATAGTTGTGTTTATAAAACTATATACAGTAGAACCTCTATTATCCGGACCTCCATTATCCGGATTTTCGATTATCCGGATTGTTCAAAATAAACAAAAATTTTACGAATTTGCTGNTAGCAATATTCTACAATAAATATACATTTTATAATAATTTAATTGATTGTTATTATTTTTTTAAAATTAAATTAAAAATAAGAAATCTGACAATTTCCAATATAATTATTTATTTAAAAACTTACCTATAGAAAATCCAAAAATCGCACCGTAGATGACTAAATGGGTATAAGTATTTAAGAAAGGGCTAAGTGCCGTAGCCAAACCTCCAATTGTCAAAGCGCAGTTATTAATTATCAGAGAACTGACTTGAGGTTTGTCGGAAATCCATCCACAGAATACTCTAGCCACAGTGTTTGTTATGCCAATAACCGATAACAAAAAAGTAGCATCCTGTGGAGATATTCCTATTAAAACAGCTCTATCGACTATGTATACAAACGGTATGAAGAATCCAGCAAGAGTAAGAAATCCGGAAATGGCCAAAACAAGGAAGGTGGGACTTTTTAATAAAGACGTGTCTAACAGTTGTCGGAATGTATCTGTCATTACTGTGGAACTTGTAGCATCGCAGGCTTCGGGTATTCTTGTAATGCTTTTATGGAACTGTTCTAGATCGGATTGAGATCGATATTCTCTAAGTCGCATCACACTAGCACTAAAAAGAACATCTTGGCGGTCAAATGGTCTCATAAAATCTTCTCTTCTCGGTGGGAAAGCGCTAGAATGACGTCTTCTCGATAAGTCTCTGTTATCTGGTGTGAACGAAAGACTCGTAGCTCTACCATCCGAAGAACGTTTCAATCTTATATTAAGCAAGTAAGGCGCTCTTAATTTGAATGAACTTTTAGACGATTGACGTTTGGAGAATTTATCAAAATTTGGTATATCTTCTTTCGATTCGGAAGAATTATCTTCATTCGGCACTAAAGGTCGAAACAGAGATCCGAATACGCAGCAATGCATGATAATTGATGATAACAGAAGAAGAGAACCACGCCATCCGTATGTTTCGTTTAAGTAATTGACAAGTGGAGGCATTATAAAGGCACCCACTCCCGAACCACATACTGCAATACCTGTAGCAAATGCTCTTTTTGTTTCGAAATAATATCCGACTGTTACGATGGCGGGAAGATAGATGAATCCAAAACCAATGCCTTAAGCAAATATAAATTAAAATAATAATAAAACACACAAATAATATAATTTATGATTATCTTTGTCCTTTAATCTTCAATTTATTTAACAAATTTAAAACTCACCTCCCACTATACCGAAACAAAGGCAGATATGTAGAAGAGTTTCGGCAAAAAAACAAAGGATGAATGCTATAGAGGATAATATACTTCCGGCTATAGTAACAGGACGACAACCATAAGTGTTAGCCAACGCGCTAACAACCGGTCCTGAAATTAAAATTATTCATCATTAACAATTAATATACTTCTGAACTTTAATTAACAAATCATTATAAGCATTTGCATTGTTTTGGCACACTTAATCGGGATTTTTCAGGGCCTAAATATGGCAAACCAACTTAAGTTATAAGATTAATAAAAATATTCGTACTTTAAAAAGGAGCTATTTAATGGTAGATAAATTTAAAATTTATATCAGTGTCAAGAGATGTAAATTTACATCCTGTTGTTCATCGGCTATATTCATCGATGTACGAGTTTTAATATAATGCACGCAATATAAATGCAAATCTTCTAGTTATAATAAATCGGAATCAATAATACTTTTGCAAATATATTGCAATAATTTATTATTTTAGACGATTACTTTTTTTATTCTTAAATGGGTCTTCAACATCTTACCTGCTAGAAGATAAAAACCTGCAAGTAAAGAGCCAATCCAAGCCGTCCTTCCTTTACTTTCGTCGAATGTTATAGAAAATTCCATTAAAAATATCCCAGAGGAAAAGATAATTCCATCTACTATAACGCTGCAACTGAAGGAAGCAAATACCACCATCCATCCCCAACCGCCGTCTGGAGGTTCAACGAACGTTGAAATAGGTCTATTGGCCATTAATACAGTCTAAGACAAATGTTGTAAATTTTAGTTAAAGAAGTAAAAGAGTTTAACAGATTTAGTTAGTATCAGTGCAAGAGGATAAGATGTCACAAGACGAAATGAACTATATAATACACAAGTTCACAATAGAGCGGAAGCGAATCACACGCCCATTAGTGCTGTCATTTATAATATAAAACTGTCATTCATAATTACTACAATGAAAAACGTTCAAAGGGATTTCATAACAAAAAATAGGACTAAACAGGACTTACGGGATAAAAAAATTCAAAGTCGGAAAAAACAACTTATAGTTTTTGATGGAGACAAAAATAGACGATGGATATCAAATCCGTACTGACATCGAATGAGCTGCAATTAGTGTGAGTGACATTGCCTGTCTATTACATTTAATATAGAAGTATCCTGTCTTCGTACGGTAAAAGTATCCTGCAAATAGGGCAAATATATTTTATAAACATGCAGAAAGAATGGAGAAAGAAGTGCTATTAACAACTAAAATCTAGTTTTTTAAGTGATAAAATGCAATTTAATAGTTAAAGATATAAATGTATTTTTCGAATTCGGAGAGTTCTAGAGACTAAATAATTTCTATAATCTTTATTAACTATCTGTAATGTATACAAATAACATCTTTGACATTTTAATATTAAAAAAAGAGTAGAAAGTAGAATAAAAAAACATTATAGAAATGACATTTTCAATGAACAAAATCATTTAATGTTCACTAGGGATTGTAAATTTACCGACTTTTTCATTTACCGGTAATTCGGTAAATGAAAATTAAAATACCGGTTTACCGGTAAATCACCGGTAAATTTTTTTCCTGAAAAATAAAATTAAGGTGATAAAAAATATAAGTAATTTTGATTTCTATTTCACATTTTCTATTTCAAAGGTATAGAATATAAAAAATATAAAAATTAAAGTGTTATTCTAAACAAACTATAATAATAACTTTTAGAAACATAAATAAAATAATACAGAAAAATAAAAATAAAACAGAAATAATATATAGTACCTAATACCATTTTA